AGATGGAGAACAATGACTCAACAGGCAAGTCTAGCTTCAGGTGCAGATGTGTCCAGGCAGGCTAGCATTGACCATACAATTTACAAGTTTTTTTACACAGAGGCAAGCTCCGGACACAGATTCCCATGTAAGCTTCTCCAATGGCAATGAATTACCCCTACTAGGGAGGTGTTGCAGTGCATTGTGAAGCCTGGAATCACAGCACTTTGCAATACTTAACTCTGCCAATAAGCAAACAGAGATCACAAGGTGTTTCCTGCAGTTGCAAAAGATCAATACATATCTACAGAGACATATTTACATAGAAATATTTGCATAGAACAATATTTGCGCATAAAATGCAAACAATGCAGGCTATTCTGAAAGTAAATTCAACAAGGAAATCACTTGGATTCTGAGAACAGGATACAAATTCAAAACCTTGAATAAAATATTTAGCTTTGCTGTTTTTTCAAATTTGAATCAGAAGATGGTCACTGGTGTTAAATCATCAGTTCTGGAAAGGAGTATGTCAACTGAAGGGAAGTCAGAGAACAACCAAAACTGTAAAGGGGCCAACTTGAAAGGAAAGATTAAAAGGAGTTAAATAATCATAATAGACAGTTTGCACTGGAGGAGTTCAAAACTCACTGTGGGACTTGAACACTTTGCCTTCTGACACAGAAGTGAGACAAAGTAAACCACAAAGCAACTTTGCTCCCCCCTTACTCACTAGCTTGGTACTATGGGGGCATTTTCAGGTAATGTCTGCCCTTTCAATTGATGGCATACAGCTGCCTTCTTATGTTGGTTCTCAGGTTAGTGGCTTCTCTGCTGCTGCTGGAGGGTCACGAAGCAGTGGTGGCAGAGCACATTCTCCATCTACGCTTGGCTACGAGGGTGCCCTTTTCCCTCTCAGATGCGGAATTCACTATCTAGCCATGCCTTTGTCAGTTTCAGATTAGATTCATTCTGTGTGCTCTACACGGGCGACGACCCTTTTGAGACTTCAGCTGGTGCAGAATGCAGCTATCTGATGATTTACTGGTGACTCACACATGGAGTGGCACATTTTGCCATGTGCTCCACTGACTGCACTGGCTTCCAGTTTGTTTCCAGGTGCAATTTATGCTACGGTTACTATGCTTGCTATGGTTGGATCCTGGGTATGAGAGATGCTGTTCTCTCTCTGTGCTTTACTGCACCATATATAGAGAGAGAGAGAGATTGATTAAGTGGAGGTGGGATAGCTCTGCAACATGCCCAGTTGGGGCGCAAACACAGGCTTTGTTGGAATGGGGTTATCAGAGACAAGCCCCCTTCACTGGGAATGACCTACACCAGACTTGCAAATCTCACCTCAGGTATCCCAGCTGATCTCATATATATATATATATGTCTGAGAGTCCCAGATTTATTTGCAAGAAGCACACAGCTACATTCCTACTGAAAATCTGCCTTTGCATGTTACAACTAACTTCCAGGCTTTGAGAAAGCTTTACTAATCTGTTGTGGATTTCTCAGAGAAGTCATCCAAGTAGCAAACCTCGGAGTTTGCCCTATAACCCACCATGTCAGAGCTGCATGTATCTGGCAGAGGAAAGCATGGGGTAAAACCCTTCTCACAGCTTCAGTGACGCACAAGGGACCTTTAAAAACTAGAGCGACATGGCACTGCATCACTTTCCTCTCTTACAGCTGTTAAGCAGTCGTCTTCTTGACATATGAAAGGTCAATGGTCTGCAAATCCTGTTCCCCAGGCAATAGCCAGAGAGAGAGAACCGAAGGAGATAGACTAACCCTGCACCATTAGCAGCCCTTGGCACAAGGGTGTGAGGGGAGGATTTAGGCTTATTTCCAACAGTTGTCACAGCAGGCAGGAATGTGCAATTGGGCCTCAAACTGAGAACTAAGTCGATGCCTCTGATGGCTTCTGGTGTTCTCCTCTTTCATCAAGCCACAGAAAACGTGATGACAAAGACAAATTCTTTATGGCAGAGCTGCTGAGGCTGTGACTTCCCTACAGTTGAGCAGAACAGATGGAGAATTTGAGGAAGACAGTCTAGTGGACTAGAGGATGCTGTAATTTCTCATCTTTCAGCTGAGTTTTAATTCTCAGCCAAGTTGTAGGTGGGCAACCCATTGAAAATTAGCCATTTCAGTTGGCTGAAATACAAAGCTTTTATCATCATTTCCAAGTGAAAAATCAATGTTTATCCATAACAATAAGGAAATATTCTCCTCTGTCCATTGGGGAGTGTCATTTTTTTCTATATATTTATTTTCTAATGGCCTGTTTCAAGAAGGCTGTGACAGCACTACAAAATTCCCAGGAAAAAACAGCGCAGAGAATACCACGGCAGATATGAGTCCTGCCCCAAGCAGCTTACAAACTAAATATGAGATGTGACGGAATGGAAGGATAACTAAACAGTTATCACAGCAAAGGCATGGGGAGAAGATGGCAGGGAACTTCAAAAAGAGTGTATATTTACGAATGAGGGCTAGTTTGTAGCATAACGCAATAAGGAAGACTTCTCTGCCTAAAGTTGTTTGAGTGTGTGTGTTTTCTATCATATCTACTTTAAGTAACTATATTAATTGGCTAATTTCTTGTAGTATCATAGCAGAAATGGGTCTTAAAAAGGAACTTGGAGTGGCGATGGCCTTGCAGATTAGCTTTGGGAGGCCATTCACGGTGTAAGTGTAGCATGGTAAAAACACAAGGACAGCTGTGCAAGAAACAGACAAACGAAGCAACGAGATTGGTGTCACTGAAGGAGTGGAAAGAGCGGCCTGCAACATGACACCAGGGTCAGCGAAGCCCAGAGGCCAGATTTAGGGAGAGCCTTGAAGGTGAGGACAAGAAGTATTTGACATCATGGAGAAGAGAAGCCAGTAGAGGGGGATGTGGTCAGGTCCATGGGTAAGGAGTACGATCTTAGCAGCTGCATTTTGAATGGACTGGAAGCGATGATTCATAATCAGGACAAGAGATGAAGAGGGCTTGGATGACATATTTAGTTGTTTGAACAGACTGAAAAGGTTGGATATTTAATGTGTTTTAAACTAGACAGTAGTAATGGTGGCAACTTCAATATACAGCCGAGCCAGGGGTTGGAAGGCTCAGAAAACCATCCAGAACGGAGTCTACGGGGAGTGTAATAATATTATTATTTGTATTTCAGTAGCACATAGAGGCCAGAGTAAAGTGACAATACAAAGAACACACAAGACCTCAGTTCCTGCCCTCCAGTTATGAAAACTAATTCATAGATTAATAATACTTTACATAGCATTTATATAATGTCATCAAGCACATTCAAAGTGCTATACAAAACCCACTAATTAATCCTCAGCTCTTTCAACATGGGTATTGTCCCCATTTTACACATGGGGAAACTGAGGTAGACAAGTGAATTGACTGGCCCAAGTCCATACCATGAGTCAGCGGCAGAGCCAGGATTAGAACTCCAGAGTTTATAAAAAGTCATCTGAGACACGGAAAGCGACTGTACAAAATGTTTTCCTCACAGTGACGGGGGAATCCAGATGGGAGCTCTTTGATCAGTCTGGGCAGTGAAACTGAGACACAGAGAGAAGCGCTCTGTAGTGACAGAACAAACAACTTGCCCCAGCAAGCTAGGAGGGCAGACGCTGGCTCTGAATTGACATGGGTTCACATTTTGGACTGATGAGCCTTTTCGTTGCAGCAAATATTTTTAAAAGAAAGAGCTGCTTCATTATTATGGGCTTGTGTGACACACGGATTTACTGTGTGGGCTCAGGCAAGTATTTAAATTCCCTGCGCCTCCACTTCCTTATCTGCAAAACGGGGATCATACTGCCTCACTGGGGTGGTGGGGGGCGAGGGGGAGGTGGGAAGAGACTCGTTGTTGGGAGGATTAGTCAGTCCAATGTTAGTAGAGAGCTTTCAGCAGGCAGAGCGCTATACAAGAGCTAACATCACAGTAAACCGACCAAACCAGTCACAATGGAGAAAACAAAGGCTTCACTTCACAACGCAGAAATTGCAGATTACACTTCTGTAATTTTTTTTTAAAAAGATCCAACTGTCCCATTTACGACCCCACCTCCCTTCCGAAGCACTTCCAGGTGGACAGCATGTACACAGAGCTCAACTCTGCTGTATTGCCTCGAGGAGGTACCAGGGGTCTAGTGCAGGGGTCTCAAACACGCGGCCCGTGAGTTATTTCCTGTGGCCCGCCATAGGCGCCGACTCCACCGGCAGCCAAGCTCCCCTCACCCCCCGCCTCCCAGCCCCTGAGCGCGCCGCATCCCCGCTCCTCCGCCTACCTCCCAGCGCTTAGGACTTTCCAGGAGGGAGAGGGGAGGAGTGGTGACACGGCACGCTCAGGGGAGGAGGTGGAGAAGAGGCAGGACCGGGGTGGGGATTTGGGGAAGGGGTTTGAATGGGGCAGGGAGGGGGTGGAGTTGGGGCAAGCGTTGGAATGGGGGCAGGGAAAGGGTGGGAAGAGGCGGGGCAGGTGCGGGGCCTTATGGAAGGGGTGGAGTGGGGACAGGAACAGGCAGAGGGCAGGCTTTTGTATCTTTGTATGAAAAGGTGTCAGTGATGTGGCCCTCGGGCCAATGTACTAGTCCTCATGTGGCCCTCGTGGTGATTTGAGTGAGATTGCTGGTCTAGTGGATAGCGCTTGTATCGCGCTGGGGGGTAGTGTGGCTTAATGGATAAGGTACTGGATTGTGGAGTCATGATACTTAGGTTCTCTTGACCTTCGGCAAGTCACATCTCTGTGTCTTTGCCTGTCCTTTCTATTCGGGGCAAGGACTGGTCTCTTATTATGGCATTCTGGGAGCTTCGGTCTCTGCAGGCTGAAGATGAAGGCAGCCAACAACTACTCTGGAAAATGTTATCGGCTGATCTTTGGCCACCCCTGACACGCAGTATTATCCAAAGTAGAGCTGCCCTCCTAAAGAGGAAGGCAGGAAAGGGAGGAAGGACAGGAGGGAGAGAGAAAGAAAAGTAGCTGTGAACTAACCTCATCGCTCTCCTCTACATCCACGTTGCCATTGGCGTCATCATCCATCTGCTTGTGGATATTGCAGACAGCTTCAAAGCTGAGCTGCTCATCTTCGAGGTGGCACAAGGGCTCATCAATTCGACAGAACTCTGTTTGGGGAGAAAACACTGGCATTAGGTAGCCCCCACCACAAGACTTTCCATCTCACTCTCTCGCTCCGCGACTGGCATGTGGAAAAGCAAGAGAAGTGTTTGGGGCAGGAATACACTGGGATGTTTTAGTGTTCCAGACCCACAAATCTAAAGTAAGACTGGCTGGTCTCTATGATAGCCGCAAATCCTGACAAAAAAGAATGGGTCAGGGCCTAACCTGGGCCAATCTCTCTTAGGGACCAGCTCCTGCAGTAGCGCTGGAAATGCTGATCAGCTTGCGTGCATGGGAGGCGGGGCCTTCTCCACAAGAGGCCAGAGACTTTGTTTTCCCCCAATAACGTACCTATCAGGATTTCTGGGTTGTTTTTTAGTATGGATTAAGTGGGATTTATTTCTCCTATAGGTTTAGTGTGTGTCCTTAGGACATGATGATGTATATTACAGTAGTGCTTAGCCACAGGACATTTTGTGGGTTTAGTTAAATTTATTTTATTCATTTAGTTATATACATATAAATTATTCAATAAAAAGATAGTATTTCCATTAAATGTGTGATAGGCCATTTAGAGCTTTATATTTATAAACCAACACCTTAAATTGTGCCTCACACTTAATAAGTAGAGAATGCTGATTCAAACACACAGCTGTCATGCTTACAGGATATTTCAGAGGCTTTCGGATAGGAATTTGTAGATGGCACAAAGAACCTTTCACCCAGCAGGTACCTAGATCGCATTCATTCCAGGCTGCTATTGGCTGAAAGTTTTTACCCTCTGATGGCAGTTCTGAGGACTACATGAAATGAGTTTGGTGGGTCTTAGTCCAGTTCCCATTGGACAGGTGCCCACATCACAAAGCCCGCCACTTGAATTGGCAGTCCGATTGAGTCTTAGCAGAATGGCTGAGGAACAACGGGTGTGCCTAAAAACCCGCGGCTGGCCTGTGCCCGCTGACTCAGGCTAAGAAGTCGTTTAATTGTGGAATAGACACAGAGGCCCTTGCGAGGTGGGAGGATCCCAGAGCCCCTTAGCCCAAGCCCGAATCAGCTGACCTGGGGCAGCCGCAGGTGTCTAACTGCAGCATAGACATGCCCAAAAGGGCCTTGGAGATCGAATTCCCCTCTGACTTCATGAGGGTCCTTCTGAAACAAAACAGGCATCCTGGCAGCAGAGGGATCTTGCACTGCTGCCATACATACCGTATCTTTTCTAAGGATAAACTGGCATTTATTAAGGCATCTATCAACTTGATCTCTAAAAACCCAGAGGAAATGAGACTACTCATATGCTTAAAAAGTTAAGTCCATGTTTAATTAAATGATTGGCTGGACCAGGGCCTAAGTGTGGACTGAAGTGAGATTTATTTCTCTTGGTCTGTCAATCTGAAATCTTTTGCCAGCACTAAATTCACACCAATTGTTTTTAAATGTTTCATTATTAGTTTTACTTGCCCCCATTAGCTTTCACAGATACCTTGGCTGCTGCAATCTTCATGACAGATCCACCCTAGAAGCCCTCTGCTACCAGCACAGATCTCTAGCCACATACAGCCAACACCAGCCAGGAAAAGGTACAGAACAGCTTCCATATTAAAAAGACTGGGACTTTTAGCTTAGAAAAGAGAAGACATAGGAAGTACTGCTTCACACAATGCACAGTCAACCTGTGGAACTCATTGCCAGAGAATGGTGCGAAGGCCAAAAGTCTAACTGGGTTCAAAAAAGAATTACATAAGTTCCTGGAGGACAGGTCCATCGACGGCTATTAGCCAAGATGATCAGGGAGGCAATCCCATGATGGCAGTGTCTCTAAACCTCTGACTGCCAGAAGCTGGAACTGGATGACAGGGGATGGATCACGCGATCACTGCCCTGTTCTGTTCGTTCCCTCCGAATCATCTGGCACCAGCCCCTGTCAGAAGGCAGGATACCGAGCTAGACAGACCACTGGTCTGACCCAGTATGGCCATTCTTACATTCTTACGAAAAAAAACCACTGCAACTGCTATCAGATTTCAAATGACCCTGTGCTCCTGGCCTAGTCCCACCCACACCCAGACTTACTCTCCAGGCTTCCCACTTCTCTCTCTCCAGACTGTTTAAAACACAAATAAAGTATCAGGTGCATGTAATTTCCCTAAGCAAACACTGACTGCAATTCTCTCAGCTGCTACCGGTGCCTCAATGCCTGGCATGACAGCATTTGGTACTGCAGGTAGCGTATTAGCTGATCAAATGCCATAGTGAGACAGGCAAGAAATACAGGTGAGTGCACTTGTAAGTGAGCATGGAAGATAAAATAGGATGGGTGAGTCTGAGAGACGTGTGAGCACTGGCACTTTTTTCAGAATACAGGTGCCTGTGTACGTTAATATTGAGTATGAGTCATGACACAGCACCATATGATCACTAACCGTTTACTGGAAATAAAGGTGTCTCTATCAGATAAAGGCAGATGACTGGGTCGCATAGAATTGAATGGTCACTTGTAATTTACAGGAAATACAGCTGCCAAAGTTTCTGAACCTAATGCAACGATAGCCATAAATGTCACTCATCCCAAAATATTCATCAGTGAGAAATGATAGATGCACTACCATGCAGGGGAGCAGCAGTTTTCCTTGTGGCCGTACCTTTAACTTCTGATCTCTGTTAGATGTTCGCTTGTATCTGCACACTCCCCAGATATGACTTGGTACCAGCCTTATAAACAGGATACTATTACCTTGAGGCTTAGCAACCAAGAGATGAAGGACCACAAACTTTTTTCAATTTCAGTTACAAGAGCAGAGGAACCGGAGTTTCATTTTAATGTTTGTCTACAATAAATAAATGTATGCTCTCCAATTTCATACTTTGCATACGACATTCTCTCAAAAGCACCTAGAGCTAGGCTCGCCAATTACACTTTCAGCGTCTCACTGAGTATCAACCTACGAGTCCACGTTCTCATATTGTGTTCATCACTATTGTGTTTTGAAGGCCTGACAAATGTATGTAGATTTACACAGGGATGGCGCATTTAAAATCCTGGCTGTAGTTATGGCACTAGTGCGGGAACAGGACGTCTCACACTGATACTGATCTAATTCCAGTATGTTAGTGTGTAATATAAACATAGAAGATGGAAAGCACCAGTTTCCATCTCCCATAACCCAACCTCTGCAACCACAGGAAATCAGGCAATGGGCGATATGCCCAGTAGATCCTAACGGATGACCCCCTCTCCCAACTCAGTGCCGCAGAGAAAGTTCCTGCCAATATACCATGAGAAAAGGTCTTCCCAAATTAGGTAATCAGCTAAGCCCTGCGCTTATAAGCTACAATTATCATGGTTAAGTATCCAGTCCCATTTATACACTGTTGTCTAAATATGGAATACTGGTCTAGTTTTCTTGATTTCCCAGTGCTGTGGACTCTGCCAGCCCCTTCTGGAACAGGGACTCCCGAATACTGACCTCCCTCTGGAAACAGGAAATGCCCCGTGGAATTTAACTTAATAAAAAAAAAAGATGTCCACTGGGTAGGCTTCAGATGTAAATGTCGTTTCCCTGAAATTTAGGAGTGGTCTACACTTAGAAATTTACCAACATAGCTCTGTCAGTTAATGGGGTGATTTTTTACCAAGATAGCTACACTGGTAAAAGCCCTACTATAAGCCGTTTTATACCAATTAGGTGCATCCACCCTAAAGGATTTTGCTAGCATAACTATTTTAGTACAACTATACCAGCAAAACCCTCCTAGGGTAGACAAGGTCTTAGCTGACAATGTTTGCTTTGGTCACACATGGTAAGACATTAGAATAGGAAAATTTATTCATGCTTACCTACAAGTTTCCTTTCTTTGAGTAATAAGGTCTACAGATCTGTTACAAGGGGTATTTCAGCCTACTTAACAACTTGGAGGCAGAACCAGATCTGTCAGTCATTAGCAATAAGGGAGTGCCCCACCCCTGAAGTTCCCTTCAATCAAAACAATGTCCACTGCCGGTATGATTCCATTCTACTTTCCTAAATTACAGATTGTGTTAACTATACTTTAAAATGAAATCACAACAATTTCTCCTAATGCACAGCACAGGGATACGTCTCCCTAACAAAATAAATCTGAATATTTGGATATCAATTTCTCTCTCTATTCTGGATGATCCATTTGTCTCCAAGATGGGCCAGATCCATGGACCTTATTACTCAAGGAAAGGAAATTTTCAGGCAAAACAATTTTTTTTCCTATTCTACATGGAGCTAGGATCTACAGAGCCTTAACAATGGGATTTTCACAGCAATGTGCCTCCAGGGTGGGAAGCTGGATCATCCTTTAAATATGGACAACCAAAATGAGGTAAATTATATATCCTGGACACTGAGGCATGGAAAAGACTTCTGCCGAAAAATGGCATTTGCTAATGATTAGATGATCAACATGTAGAATTTGGTGAATTTATGTATTGATGGCTACATGGCCATCTAGCTGGTCTCAATATAGGAGCCATGACTTCTCTGCCCTGAAGTTATCAGTGCTCCTACAGATTAGACTTTCATGCTTGACAGAAAAAGAACATTTCTTGAATTTATTTTGCAAATGAGTGCTACGACAGATGTGAGGACTGCATGACTGAATGGGCCTCCTCAGAGAAAGCTCCCAACTTCATAAACTCATCCGATTGGCGACAATAGTTCTCAGGAAGTCTGCTTTAATGGATAGGAATTGTAACGATGCTAGCCACAGGGGTTCAATTAGGGTAGTACAGTAAAGAGCAGAATGAGGTTCCAAACATTGTGGGGTTGGAATCTGGATAGCTGACCTAAGGAAGCATTTAATGTCAGGGTTTCTACAAAACTTCCTTTTTCTTGACCGTATTGAGAACGTTATAGTACAGAGACTTGACCTTTTTGCTTATACATTCTCATTAGAGTCCTCGTGGAGGACAAAAGTACAAGTCCTACCGACCACCAGAAAACCTGAAGAGCTCTTGGATAACCAGCCTCAAGAAGCA